ATATATATATATATATATATTTTTTTTTTTTTTAATTTTATTTATTTATTTGACAGACAGAGATCACAAGTAGGCAGAGAGGCAGGCAGAGAGAGAGAGGAAGGGAAGCAGGCTCCCTGCTGAGCAGAGAGCCCGATGCGGGGCTTGATCCCAGGATCCTGGGACCATGACCCGAGCCGAAGGCAGCGGCTTTAACCCACTGAGCCACCCAGGTGCCCTGTAATTCTCTTTTTTGATGGGGTCTTTGCCTGGTTTTGGGATCAAGGTAATGCTGGCCTCATAAAATGAGTTTGGAAGTTTTCCTTCCATTTCTATTTTTTGGGGACTGTTTCAGGGGAATAGGTATTAATTTTTCTTTAAACATTTGGTAAAATTCCTCTGGGAAGCCATCTGGCCCTGGGCTCTTGTTTTTTGGGAGATTTTTGATGACTGCTTCAATCTCCTTACTAGTTATGGGTATGTCCATGTTTTCTATTTCTTCCTCATTCAGTTTTGGTAGTTTACATGTCGTAGGAATGCGTCCATTTCTTCCAGATTGTCTAATTTGCTGGTGTATAGTTGCTCATAATATGTTCTTATAATTGTTTGTATTTCTTTGGTGTTGGTTGTGATCTCTCCTCTTTCACCATGACTTTGTTAATTTGGGTCCTTTCTCTTTTCTTTTGGATAAATCTGGCTTAGGGTTTATCAATCTTATTCATTCTTTCAAAGAACCAGCTCCTAGTTTCATTGATCTGTTCTACTGTTCTTTTGGTTTCTATTTCATTGATTTCTACTCTGATCTTTATTATTTCTCATCTCCTGCTGAATTTGGGCTTCCTTTGCTATTCTTTCTCCAACTCCTGTAAGTGTAGGGTTAGGTTGTGTATTTGAGACCTTTCTTGTTTCTTGAGAAAGGCTTGTATTGCTACATACTTTCCTCTTAAAATTCATAAACACCAAACCAACCCTACAGGAAATATGGAAAGGGGTCCTTTGTTGCATCCCAATGATTTTGAACAGTTGTGTTTTCATTTTCATTTGTTTCCATGAATTTTTTCAATTCCTCTCTAATTTCCTGGTTGACCCATTCATTCTTTAGTAGGGTGTTCTTTAGCCTCCATGTATTTGAGTTTGTTCCAACTTTCCTCTTGTCATTGAGTTCAAGTTTCAAAGCACTGTGGTCTGAAAATACACAGGGAATGATCCCAACCTTTTGGTACCAGTTGAGAATTGATTTGTTACCCAGGATATGATCTATTCTGGAGAATGTTCCATGCACATTAGAGAAGAACCTGCATTCTGTTGGTTTGGGTTGGAAGGCTTTGAATATACCTGTGATGTCCATCTGGTCTAGTGTGTCATTTAAAGCCTTTATTTCCTTGTTGATCTTTTGCTTAGATGATCTGTCCATTTTAGTGAGTGGGGTGTTAAAGTCTGCTAATATTATTGTATTATTATCCATGTGTTTCTTTGATTTTGTTTTTAATTGGTTTATACAATTGGCTGCTCCCATGTTAGGGGCATAGATATTTAAAATTGTTAGATCTTCTTGTTGGACAGACCCTTTAAGTATGATATAGTGTCCTTCCTCATCTCTTATTATAGTCTTTGGTTTAAAATGTAATTTGTTTGATACAAGGATTATTACCTCAGCTTTCTTTTGATGTCCATTAGAATGCTAAATGGTTTTTCACCCCTTACTTTAAATTTGGAGATGTCTTTGGCTCTAAGATGAGTCTCTTGCACACAACATATTAATGGGTTTTGTTTTTTCTTATCCATTCTGATACCTTGTGTCTTTTGATTGGGACATTTAGCCCATTTACATTCAGGGTAATTTTTCAAAGATATGAATTTAGTGCCATTGTATTACCTGTAAGGTGACTGTTAACTGTATATTGTCTCTCTTCCTGTCTGGTCTATGTCGCTTTTAGGCTCTGCTTACAAGACCCCTTTCAATATTTCCTTTAGAGCTGTTTTGGTATTTGCAAATTCTTTTAGTTTTTGTCTTGGAAGCTTTTTGTCTCTCCTTCTATTTTCAATGATAACCTAGTTGGATATAGTGTTCTTGGCTGCATATTTTTCTCGTTTAGTGTTCTGACTATATCGTGCCAGTACTTTCTGGCCTGCCAGATCTCTGTGGATAGGTCTGCTGCCAGTCTAATATTTCTACCATTGTATGTCACAGACTTCTTGTCCCAAGCTGCTTTCTTAATTTTCTCTTTGTCACTGAGACTTGTAAGTTTTACTATTAGATGATAGGGTGTTGACCTTATTTTTATTGGTTTTGAGGGGAGTTCTCTGTGCCTCCTGGATTTTGATGTTTATTACCTTTGCCAAATTAGGGAAATTCTCTACTATAATTTGCTCCAATATACCTTCTGCCCCCCTCTCTCTTTCTTCTTCTGGGATTCCAATTATTCTAATAGTGTTTTGTGTTATGGTATCACTTATTTCTTGAATTCTCCCCTCCTGGTCCAGTAGTTATTTGTCTCTCTTTTGCTCAGCTTCTTTATTCTCCATCATTTGGTCTTATATATCACTAATTCTCTCTTCTGCCTCATGCATCCCAGCAATAAGAGCTTCTGTTTTTTACTGCATCTCATTTATAGCCTTTTTAAAATTTCAGCTTGGTTAGATTTTAGTTCTTTTATTTCTCCACAAAGGGATTCTCTAGTATCCTCTATTTTTTTCAAGCCCAGCTAATATGTTTATAATCATCATTCTGAACTCTAGTTCCAACAATTTACTCTTGTCTGTATTGATTAGGTCCCTGGCAATTGGTACTGCCTCTTGCTCTTTTTTATTTCTTGAGGTGAGTTTTTCCATTTTGTGATTTTGTCCAGAGAAGACTAGATGAATGAGGAAATACAATGCTAAAAGGATAACAATGACCCCAGAAATATATACGCTAAACAAATTAGAAGAGACCTGCAACTGGGGGTAGAGGGGATGGAGGGAATGGGAGAAAGGGGGAAAAAAAAAAGAAGAAGAAAAAAATATGATCAGGCTGGTGAATAAAATAGAGCCATACACTAGATTTGGGTTATATTTTGTCTGTTAGAAGAAACTGCCTCCCAAAATTTTAAAGAAAGAAAAATTTATATATATATAAAAATAAGGGTAAATACAATGAAGGGATGGAATATGACTGCAAAGATGAAAATTAAAAAAAAAAAGATTTTAAAAGGAATTGATAAGATAAGATGTTTGTTGAAAAAAGAAAGAAAAAAATTAAGAGAAAAGGGGGCAGGGAGAATGTGATCAGGCAGGAGACTAGAATAAAGTCATGTAGTAGATTTAGGGATATATTTTGGTCTGTTAGAAGAAACTGTATCCCAAACTTTTAAAGAAAGAAAAACTTTTATATATGCAAAAAAATAAGGTTAAGTACAATGAAGGGATAGAATTTGAATGTGAAAATGAAAATTAAAAAAAGAAATTTAAAAAAGTATTGATAACATAAGATATTTAAAATAGAAAAAAGGAAAAATTTAAAAAAAAGAAAAAAGAGAAAGAAAAAATGAAAGAAAATTAAAAAAATTTAACTTTGGAAGACTAAGGACTCTTGAGGAAAAAGACATGAGTTCTATGTGTTGCTTTCCCTAGTTCTGGAGTTCTGCAGTTCTCATTGATTGGTGAACTTGGTCTTGGCTGGATGCTCTAACTGATCTTCTAGGGGAGGCACCTGTTGCAGTGATTCTCAGATGTCTTTGCCGGAGACAGAATTGCACCACCCTAGCTGGGGGACTGGCTAAGTGATCTGCTTGGGTTTGCTCTTGGGAGCTTTTGTTCCCCGAACGCTTTCCATACATCTTTGGAGGAGGAGAATGAAAATGGCGGCCTCCCAATCTCTGGCTTAGATGAGCCAAGAGCACAGGGCCCTGCCCCTCAGTGCACCCTCAGAGAAAAGCAGTCAATTCCTCCCATCTCTCTGGTTTCCGGCCGCACTCTGTACTACCTAGCCTGTGACCAATTATTTCTATTTCTGGTGCATGGCCCCTTTTGGAGTCTCCAAACCCAGCCAATTGCTGCAGTGCACTCCCATGCCACTCCTCCCGGAGGAGGAAGGAGGAGTCTCCCTGGATCTGCCACTTGTGGGGTCTCTGCTCAAAGAGCAGTGGTCGGACTGTGCCATGGATCACAGTTTAAGATAACCCCGAACAGAGAGCCCCCTCCTTAGCTCTGCTTCTGCAGCCAGCTTTCCTGCTCCGATACCTGAGAGCCCTGCCACACTCAGGCACCCCCAGTCTTTGTGTGACCCCATGGGTCCTGAGACCACACTGTCCCAGTGAGGATTCCACGCCCTGCTTAGCCACTGGAGAGACATCCCTCAGCAGAGGAGACTTCTGAAAGTTCTAATTTTGTGCTCCACTGCTCTACTGCTTGCTGGGCGCTGGGCCCTGCCCTGTGGTCTCTCTTCCTGTATATTGTCTCGGATTCACGTCTCTGCATGCCCTACCTTCCAGAAAGTGGTTGCTTTTCTGTTCCTAGAATTGCTGGTCTTCTTCTCTTCGATTTCCTGTTGAGTCTTTAGGTGTTCAGAATGGTTGATAACTATCTAGCTGAAGTCCTGGGACCTGATGATATTTAGGTCTCCTACTCCTCCACCATCTTGTTCCTCTAACATCAGTTTTTTTTTTTTTTTTTTAAGTTTGGAAAATTAACTTTAGACATAGACTTCTCTGTATTTTTCAGCAGTTTGTGCTCCTTATTTTTGTAGCAAATTCACCAAAGAAAGAAGATTCTGGTTAAATAATATATTACCTTACTGATCAAATTAGCCCAAATCAGATCACTGACTGCATACCCAATCTCCAAAGCAATCTCCAGATAAATAAGAGAATTACAATTTTGTATTTAATGATATTGCAGTATCTTTCTTGACATGTTAAGGCCAATCAGTTGAGAGCCTTCGTGGTTATTCCAAGAGTTATGAATGCAAGTGTGACCTCAAACACCCCTTCCACTGGTAGGAGAGAGATGTGGTACTAACAAGTGCTTTTGTGTTTTCACAGGTTATGGTTTCGTAGATTTTGACAGTCCTGCAGCTGCACAGAAAGCAGTAGCATCTCTCAAGGCAAATGGCGTGCAGGCACAGATGGCCAAGGTAAGACTGGGGTTCAGATGTTTTTTCTTTTGTGATCTTATATTTCTCCATTATTGTGAGCAGAATCAGAATTGGAGATCGCAATGATTTGGATTATATTTACTTGGTAGGGAAAATAAGAAACCTTCTAATAGCTTTGGCTTGGAAGAACCTGGCTGGTTTATTTCATTGTTTTCTGTGTATATTTCTGTGTATATTTATTAATAAGCTCTTTTGTTTTGGTGAACTCATTAGTGCTTTAAGGGCACTTCTGAAGTGCTCTGTTATGTCTGAAAAGAGTGTGTGTGTATGTGTGTCTAGGGCTTTCACAAGTAAACTGTTTGGGAGTAGACTGATTCTCAGCAAGTTGTCATTGGTAAACTGTGCTCCAAAACTGTTCACTCTCATGTTGGGGAGAGATGAAGGCTGAATAATGAAGTTGTATGATTTATGCAGGAAAATGAGTTTAACCAAAACATACATTGTCTGTATTGCTAGAATTTCACTTTGGCCTTTACAGATAGTTTTACTAGGTGATAATCTCCTTGATATTAATAACTTCCAATACTCATTTGTTGTTATATAGTACAAGTAGTTCAGAGCTTTCTGTCTGAAGTCATAATGCATTTTTATATTCAAGAAAATAAATCAGAGCATTTTAAATAGTTTTGAATTTTGACTGCAGTGGTAGTTACAAGAATCTACACATGTGATAAAATGGTGTGGAACTATACATGCATATCAGTATCAACTTCCTGGTTTTTATATTTTACTATAATTATGTAAGATCCAAACTTTGAGGAAACTGGGTGAAGGGTACATGTGATCTCTTTATGCTAGCTTTGCAACTTGATATAAATGTATGATTAGTTTCAAATAAAAAGTCTAAGAAAAACGTTTATGGCATATAGGTGCTTGATACATTTCTGCTTTAAGTTAATGGTCATTTTGGATTTGATCACATGCAAATATATTTTTAAATAATTTTCAGATTACTCTTACTAAATTTGTTTGTCTCTGGATTCTCAAAAGTTAGGTAGAAGAGCCAACAGATCTTGAAATTCAGACTTAATGCATTTGGGCCATCTTCATGTATACTCTTACCCTTAACTATTCCCCTAAGAACTGAGTGATATAGCAACCAAGTCATCAAACCTTCAGTCATTTGAATTTTGTTATGGTTGCAAACATTCCCTGACAATATTTTCCAGTTTCAACCTGAGATAGCCAGAGGTGGGATGTTTGGTTTTCTTCATCTTCTGTGTCTTTTAGCAAGCTGATACCACTCATATCTGTTAATCTTTGGTTGTGGGTCACTTCCCACAAAGATTACTTCGGTGAACTCATTGCCCTTTATGATACGTTGGTTGTTTTCAAGGCTATATATATATTAGAATCTGAATTCTTTCAGCTATGTAATGCATTCCTCATCAAGACTGTGCCTGGAAGCTTTGAATTTGGTAATGAACTAAGAGTGATGAAGTTAATATTTGTAATCAATAAGGAAATTATCTACATGTCTTGGTTTAAAGGTCACTTGGCTAAAGAGTCAAGTTACCTGGCAACTTAAGCAGGCATTATGTCTAGGAAACAAATGGTAAAATATAGTTGCTCAGTATATGTAAAATACAAAATTTGAAATTGGATTGAAAGACAACTGACAGGAAAATCATAATAAAAATGCTTATAATAATTATTATTAGAATATCTTTGATTTATTTTATTGATGGACTAACGAGTTTTGGAAATTGCTAGGTTGTGGTAGTTTGGAAATCATGAATACAGGGTATGCAATCTTGACCATTTCAAATGTTCTGAGAAAAAAATAATATATGTGTAGTTTTACTCGTTGGGTTAAAATCACTATCATCTTGCACAACAGGCAAAGAAAGTTGGCATTGATTTTAAAACTACTGAGGAGCGATTATGACTGTTTTTTCTCTGTGTCTGAGCATTCTGGTACACAAGGAATCACTGTCCATCTCACTCTCTCATACACGCACATACACACACACACACACACACACACACACGTAACATGTACACCAATCACTGACCTCTCACCTAAATAGGAGGCTATCAAAGGGAATATATTTAAAGAGCTTCTAAAAACTGTTTTTCATTATAGGCAGCATTTTTATCCTTAGCCCACGCCCAACATACACTGCACAATGTACAATGTGAGGAGATTCCAACCAAAATATTTGCAGGCACTTACTTTATTTCTGGAGTTGCTGAAAGATTTCTACCTTATCAGTTATGCTGTCTGTGGAGTAAATTCTTCTTTTTCTTCTCACAGACTTTGAATCAAAAGCCCAGAGCTTTAGACACACATCTGTGTACTAGAAAACTTTCAGCAGTAAATAGCTCTGTAATTTAACTACCCAGAAGCAAATAAATAGCGTCCCTTTGACAATGAAATGGGACAAGCTTGACCACCTGTATTAGCAGATTTCTCACTGAGCTATTGGATTTCATGGCCTTCCCCCTCCTTTGTCCTGGTAATAACTATAATTTATTATCATATAAACCTGCAGTCTGCAGGGTGTGTGAAACTTGCACTATATTTTTTGTCATTTAAGTATCTACTGAATCACCTCCTGCATCCTTGTTCTTATCAATATCCTACGATGTAGGTTGTGGTGCTACATTTAAAAGACTCCAGGATTTTAAAGCAAAAATGTGACAAATAATCTGGGTTCCCAATAGCAACCTGGAATGAACATGAAGCTCTCCAAGGGAATCACTCTAGCGAACTTATTCCAATGTGTGCATATGAAAAATTCAACTGATTTGTCAACTAAGAAGAATCAAACAATAAATCATCCAGTAAGTGGTAATTGATTAATAATGTATAATCCATTAATACAGACTAACATTTTCTGTATACTTGCTGTTCTGTCAAAAAGAGTTTTTAGGGATCAAAGGAAATGTTTCTTTGAGGAGAGCAGATTTAGAATATTTTAGTAATGCATAGTGGTTAAGAGTGTAGGTTTGGAGAGAGAGAAACTTGGCCTTGAATTTTGGCTCTGATACCACCTGGATGTGTGGCCTTGGCTAAGTTATTTAAATATCTCTTAAACTCTCTAATAATAATACTCAGGTTATGGGACTAACGATGTCTGTCAGAATTAAATTTAAAAAAATACATAAAGAATTTAGGATAGTGCTTAGTTATACCAAGAAGTCAATAAATGTTAATTATTCAATGAATGTTGTTACTCATTAAATTCAAAGTTGTTACTGAAACCTCTATAAATTCTAACACTTGCTTTAAGTGGTGTGTCATTACAAAACAGTCTCTTGAGAAATATAATAAATAATATCAATAAACATTTTTATTACATGCTAAGTGTCAGGCACCATGCTAGGTGTTGGAGAATCAAGTTGAATAAAACCTCTCTTATTCTGAATCTTTATGTTTGGTCTATCTCCTGGGATTGCTACTGGATTTCTCTGGATTAAGAATATTGGCTGTTATGGTTCTTGCCAACCTCAAAGTATTGAGAAGAAAATCATTTGGCTGAGGAATGAGTCTCTGTAAGCATAAAAAGAAAAGAGCTGAAGAGAAACCAGCTAAGAATCGCTTTACCTTGTAGGGGTTTATTTTCTTATCAATAAGAAGGTCGTAGATAGGCAGCGAAGGGCAAGTGCTTTGGTACACCCTCAAGGATCAAGGCTTCTCTGCCATTCATTATGGGTGGCTTTCATCTGTACCTTTATGTTGTTTCTAAGGCCTATATAGGATATCCCCATCTTAGCCAGGAAAAACAAAAGGACGAAGGAATCTGAAGCTGAAGCTGATGGATTGTTCTGGCTGATTCTGTCCTTTTAAAAGGCATTCTAGAGAGGTGCCCGGGTGGCTCAGCTGGTTAGGCACCTGCCTTCTGCTCAGGTCATGATCTCAGGGTCCTGGGATTGAGCCCCGCATAGGGCTCTCTGCACAGTGGGGAGTCTGCTTCTCCCTCTTTCTCTACTGTTCCGCCTGCTTGTGCTCTCTTGTTCTTTCTGTTAAATAAGTAAATAAACTCTTGAAAAAAAAAAATAATAATAAATAAAATAAAAGCTTTCCCAGAATATTAACGTAGACCCAACTATTTATACCATAATGGCCCAAAGTGAGTCATATGGTTGCCCCCTTAGCTGCAAAAGAGTCTGGGATTATGCATAATTTAGCTTCCTCACCTCTAGTAGAGAAAATTAAGAATAGTTCATCTTTTTGGCTGTCCAACATCCATTACACCATTCTTCCCATTTATACATTTTAGGTGGCATGCGTTTATTCCTTCCCTAAAAGAGCCTACCTCAGAGCCTTATCCTATAATCACATCTGGTGATGTCATCATCCCTAACAGGCTCAGACATGGTTGCTCCTCATGGCTTAACACTCATTAGCTTAAAAGATGAGTTATCTGCCCCAACTCCCACAGTAAAGAACAGCAGAGAAAAAGATAAGATACATGAAACTAAAGGAAAACCACCATTCAGGGACAGAGAGAATGGGAAATAAGCAGAAGTAACCAGTTGCTAGCACACACCAAATCCTGGGGGCAGGAATAGAATTCTAGCTTTGTCCGTGCAGTACGCTCACTGGTTGCCAGTCATATAATCCCTGCCTGCCGTATAGAGAGGGCTTTCTTGCCCATTTTTTCCCCATGGCCACACTGAGGCCTCACTGAAAGGCTATATAGCTTTAGAAACTGAGTTTTCCTGAACGGAAATTTGGAGGCTCTGGAATGGCTCTACATATTTTGTGTTAGCAATTATTACCAGCCAAGCCCTGAGCTATTTCAAGTTTAGCAAGCCTCTTTCTTACTTTCTGTCTGTCAATTCCAAACACAAGTAAACAGAGTACATCTCTTTCTAGATGAAAAGTCCACAGGGAAGGAGCCACTGCCTCCTCAGGGCCTTTACAAAAAGCTTTTTCAGGTCTACTATTAAGGATGCTATTCCAATCACCAAAGGTGATTCACCTCACTGTGGGATATGTAGAATAAATTGAAGTTAAGCAATTGCAAAAG